AAGGAGCTCCAGTGTGAACCGGCGAAGGTGAGCATGGCGTTCATCGGGGTCAAATGTCAAGATGTCGTCAGGGACACGGATCTAGGGGAAATAGTGCTCAATGAAAAGTGGCAGTTGAAGGAAGAGTTCGACAAGGAAGGCACGGGTGACGGGGAATTTGTGTATGCCACAGGTGTTGCATGTTTCAGTAATGGGAACATAGTTGTAACTGATACAACCCAGAATCGCCTATTGATGTTTACTTCCGCTGGTCAGTTCAAAACATCAGTTGCTGAAGGAGGTGACTGCAATCACTTGGAAGCGCCTCGGGGCGTTGACGTTACCTACGAAGATCTCCTTTTTGTCACGGACAGAAAGAAAGTGAAGGTTTTTGACAATGAGCTACAGTTTGTTCGCGAGTTTACACCTTCGGTTGACGATGAAGAGAGTGACATCAGTTGTATTTCTGTGGACAAGCAACGAGTAGCAGTGGCTGACAGGGGAAGAAAGGTCATCAGTGTCCACAAATTGGACGGGTCGTCGATTGCAACCTCATCAAACAACATGGTTGAATATTTAATAGCAGTTAGCAACAAAGAGCGGCTGATCTTCACAAACTATGAGGAAAAGAGGTTGCTGTGCGTTGATTTTAAGGGCAATGAGGTGTTCAACGTGATGCCATTATTGAACGGGAAACCAGCGAAACCGACTGGAGTCCTGTGCGACGATGACGGGAGCATCTATGTCGCTGTTCATTCCGGTAACCTTGGTAACAGTGAAGTGCAACATTACGCCTCAAATGGTGCATTCCTAACAACAGTAGCACAAGGGTTACACAATCCGTTAGCAATGGCATTCGCCCCCGCTGGTGACGTCGTTGTCGCAGACAAGCACTCCGTCAAGATCTTTGAACGGATGTAATCTTCTTCACCACAGCCAAAAGCATTTCCTGAAATCCATAAACCTTCACAACATGCCTGATACAAAATGTGCAAAACAAATTACTTTGCAGGAGTGATTCATACGTTTGTTTCTGTTTGAGAAACAAAAAAATTATGATTAACTTTCGCAATTTTGCAATTAGATATGCAATTTACTCAATAGTTTTAATTTCGAAGTACGTGATTGTGCCGGGTTTTTTTTAAGTGGTTTTCTTGTTTCGATGCACTCCCCGTGCAATTGTCGAATTTAAGCCCGAAATATAGATATTTTGTTAAGTTGCTTTAAGAACTGAGACGTTGAAACCGTGAATAAAAACAAACAAACGTAATTTAGTATAAAGCAAAAATAAACCGACATTTAGCATAAAAAACAATAAACCGACGTTATAATGAATTATTTCAAAAATGCATACATACATACATACATACATACGTACACATTTGAAATTTGCTAGGAGGAAATAATTTGAGGAGCACGGGGTGTGCATATTAATTAGCTTGGTATATTTCGTGTGTGCATGTATACGTTTCCTTTTAACAAATTAATAATTAATGTTTAAATCAAAGTTAGTAATAATGTTTGAGCTGTATACAAGCTGCATATAATTGGTCAGATGTTACTAATAAATGTAAAACGGATTGAACAAAATAATTTTAGATGAATATTTTTCAGCATAATTTTCACAGGATGCTTCCTTATGTTTTCTTTAATTTAAAGAGAAATTCTTCTTGGGTAAGAATGACTTGAAAAAAAAGCTCAATCGTTTTTAAATCCAACCACTGCTTCAACTTTTAGTTCGTTTTTAATTCCTGTATACCAAAAAAAAAAAAAAATGTTTCCCCAAAATGAAAATAAATCAAATAGTGTGTCCATTTATTTTCAAAGTGCAACCTGCTGCATCATATCTAGGCCATATTTACCAAGAGAGCGCTGGCAGAATACTGGAATTAAATACACAGTGCAAAGCTTCGTTTACTGTTACTGTAGACGTATAGCTTTATGCACGGAAATGTGAGCTGAGAAGGATGAATCACACGGAGGGATGAATCACACTCTCTTTTTTTTTGGTGGACATTTCAGTTAAAACCACTTCAAGTCAATCTCATGTCGAATCGCAATACCTGAATTTTTCTGTGACCTAACTTGACAGTGGATGATTTGTGATTGAGTTCTGAATGAATTTGATCGATTTAGTATATTGTGGTTAACCTCTGAAGCTGACGTTTGATTTACTTTCGATTACTTGTGGTTGCCTACCACCGCCTTGTAATTGACTTTCGGTGACAATTTGATTGACTTCGATGACTTGTGACTGATTTCTGATGACTTGTGATCGCAACAACTTTTAGCAGTAATTCTTTCACGCAGTTCTATGTAATTGTTGGATCCATTTGGTTGAACATAAACATATCTTCATATATAAGCCGCTTGATTCCACCCATCAACAGGCGTCAGTCCCAACAAACGTCTTATGGGAACAAAGTATAAGGATTGCGTCAGGCAATTTCGAACTACACGCGCAACTCAACTCAATAATAATACTAGTAATGTTGTATAAATTATAACGCAATGTTAAAAAAAAATGAGCCAAAACAAACACTTATCGATTACGAACACATATGCTGCACTGATGTCAGGCAGAACAAATAATGTATTCCGCATGTAATGTCTGTTTTGTGCTTCCGTACTTTTACACATGAGGCCGATCGACTTCCTGTTTGAATTTTTAACATGAATCATGTGCATTCATTGGGCGTTGGTGCTGGGCAAGTGTACCAAGTATAACGAACGATTAGCATTTTTTTCCCCGTGATGAGTAAACGGAACTTCACGCAATACTATGTACTGCTGCAATCGATGATATGCATGTACATGGACGCATATGGCTACTTAGAAGTTTCATCTGGGGCATTTATTGTGTTGCTTTGTGCGACACAAATAGCAACTGGTTCTTCCAGTGTTGAGAAAAGGAGTTGGGCTGTTGTGCCTTTTATTGCTCGATAATGAAGGCCTACATTGTACATGCAAAGTAGTTTTGCCGTTTTGTGTGTTTACACTGGTGGAATTCTCACGCAACATATTACATATCTGTGGTCGAAGACTTTTGACTAACCGGCGAATCTGTGAAGGTAGGTGTGAGTCAATTGTGTCTAGATTAGAGAAGATAACCTGTGCTATGCAGTTTTTCTATTCTTATTATCGACTTATAACGAATTTTCAACTTGGCATTTTTTTAACGAAATGAAACCTACTTTATTTCGAGTTTCTGCAACCCTCTGAAAAAGGAACTGCATTTTGATACCATAATTGTGAAGAAATATTTCAATAACTAAACGTCATTGGCAGTGGCGTAGCCAGGAATTCCTCAGTGGGGGGGCGCTGGGGGGGGGCTGGAACATTTCATGGGGGGGGGGCGTCATGTAGGGGCGTCAATCGCTTCTCAAAAGTGGGGGGGGGGGGACATACCTTGATCAGAACTGATGCGAGCACGAAGCCCTTACGGCGTGGGGGTTCGGGGCCCGCTGAAGGGCCCCGAAAAAATTGGATTCTAGATGTTCTGTGGTGTGATCTGAAGCAATTTCTTACCACTTTCTAATAATTATTTGAACATCGTTTTCGAGGTTGGAGTCGTTGAATCAGCTATCGGTATTCTGAGCTATAGGCGTGGGGTTCGGGGCCCGCTTAAGGGCCCCGAAAAAATTGGATTCTCGATGCTCTGTGGTGTGATCTGAGGCAATTTCTTCCCACTTTAACCAATAATTATCTTAGCACAAAAGATAATAATTTAAACATAATTTTCGAGGTTTTCTCAGCTAAAGGCATAAGAAAATATTTTGAACATTGTTTTCGAGGTTGGAGTCATTGAATCAGCTACCAGAATTCTGAGCTATAGGCGTGGGGTTCGGGGCCCGCTTAAGGGCCCCGAAAAATTTTGGATTCTAAATGCTCTGTGGTGCTATCTGAGGCAATTTCTGACCACTTTAACCAATATTTTCTAAGCAAAAGATACATTGTAGTACATAATTGGGCCCTGTAAATGAGACACGAGTTCAAAAATCTGGGGGGGGGGGGACATTTGATATTGTGTCCCTCACCCTTCAAAAAGTGGGGGGGGGGGGGACCAGTCCCCCTGTCCCCCAGGATTGACGCCCATGGCGTCATGTAGATCAATGATAATTTTTTTAGAAACTCAAAATCTCAGTAGGGGGGGGGGGGCGACTGGGGGGCGACAAGGTTTCATGGGAGGGGCTGTCGCCCCCCACGCCCCCCTGTGGCTACGCCACTGATTTCAAGGAATTTTAATTGGTCTATTATTATTATTTAGCTTATATGAATGGAGGAAAAAGTTTGTGCGTGGCCAATTCGCGTGATATCGCTGACTAAAACTGTGTGACCCACGGATCACCTATCTATAATACGTGTTCCGTGGTGTGCGCGAGCAGTGCAGTGGGTGTTAATACGCATTTTAGATTATCATTATGCGCTATGTCACGCCGGTTGTCAGCTTACTGGTCCGCGGTCGCCGGTCGAAGGGTCGTTTCTCAGTGGTCATCATGTGGATCATTCGCGACTATTTAGATTTAGATCAATGATAATTTTTTTAGAAACTCAAAATCTCAGTGGGGGGGGGGGGGGCGACAAGGTTTCATGGGGGGGGGGGGCGGTCGCCCCCCCCCCCCCCCCCCACGCCCCCCCCCCCCGGTGGCTACGCCACTGGTCATTGGATATTGTTTCGATGTCTCATTCAAATGTGAGTAACTTTCATATTTCTAGGAAAAAAATGTTATTGAAAAAAAAAGAAGAGGGAATACATATCTATATTGATATCGCTGGTGTTCTTGTAAATGGCTATAAATAACAATTATGAGAATGGCATGAACGATTATCCTATAAATCAATGTGATGAGCGATGTTCAAGATGGATGCTTGCAGGGCTGGGTTAGAGTCTGTGGCTAACGCCATCCCACCGCCACCCACAACCACCATCACCCACCCCCTTCCTGCTATTCATGTGGACTGGCTCTAAATTCAATAAGTGACATGCCGTTTTTGATCTCTTTTGGTTTAAGGTATACTTTTAAAGATGGCGGAAGCTGCAGCTCAAACCGTGTTGGACAAGATCAGCCAGGGGCATCTGGAATGTCCGATCTGTTGCTGTCGATTCAAGGATCCTAAGATGTTGGACTGTCTGCACAGCTTCTGCCTGAAGTGTCTGGAAGAGATGATGAACAAGCAGAAGTCAGAGACAGAGAGGATAACATGTCCAGTCTGCAGGAGAGAGACGCACGTTCCTGGTGAAGGATTGCACAGTCTTTCTTCCAGCTTCTTTTTGATTTCTCTTGTCGATGAAATAAACAAGCAAGAGAAGTTATTAGGGACGTCATTAACTACTAGTGCTACTTGTGAATCGTGTGATGAAGGACATGAGGCTGTATCAAGATGTTTTGACTGCAAGGTGAACATCTGTAAGAAATGCCAAGAGGCACACCAGTTTCTGAAATATACCAAAGACCATCGCATCATTCCTGCAGAGGAATTGGACAAATCGAGGGTTTTACCTGCAGATCTTAACAAGTCTGTCGCACCAAAATGTAGAAAGCACATTGAACATTCATTATGCTTTTACTGTGAGAGCTGTGATATTTTGATTTGCTCAATGTGTGCTGCAACAGAACACCGGACAGCCGATCACAAGTACACTGCAATCTATGACGCCATCGGATCATTCCGGGAGAGTGTCGACGACATTTTTCAAAAGTTCGATAAAAGCAAAGAGCAATTTGCATCAAACGAAGACTCGATCACACATGCACGAAAAAGATTACAAAAGAATCTTGCTCAGGCTCGTCTAGATATTTCTACAAAGGCGGAAGCAGAGATCGCTAAAATCAGAAACAAAGCAAAGCGTCTCACCGAAAAGGTCGACGAAATCGGTCAGGAGAGAGACAGTGAGTACGATAAGGCGCTCATGCACAACCGTGACCAGATGGAACGCGCAGATCAGATCGTCACGGCAGTAAGTGACTTGATGAGACAAGCCGATAATTTCGAGCTTTTGGAGCTCAGGCCGAAGGTGATGCACAACTTAGAATTCCAGGAGGAGCTCAAGTGCGAACCGGCAAAGGTGTATATGGCATTTATCGGGTTCAAATGTCAAGATGTCGTCAGTGACACAGATCTGGGGGAAATATTGCTCAAAGAGAAATGGCAGTTGAAGGAAGAGTTCGGCAAAGAAGGCACCTGTGACGGGGAATTCCAGTTCGCCGCGGATGTTGCATGTTTCAGCAATGGGGATATTGTTGTAACAGACACAACGCAGAACCGACTTTCGATGTTTACCTCCACTGGGTTGTATAAAACATCGGTTGCTAATGGAGGAGCTGATTGTCATGAGTTGGAAGCTCCTTTTCGCATTGCAGTGACCCAAAATGATCTGCTTTTCGTCACGGACAAACAGAAAGTGAAAGTTTTTGACAGAGAGCTACAGTTTGTTCGTGAGTTTACACCTTCGGCTGACAATGCAGAGGGGCTACCAGAGAGTAACCTCGGTGGTATTGCTGTGGACAAGCAACGGGTAGCAGTGGCTGACTGTGGGAGAAAGGTCATCAGTGTACACAACTTGGACGGCTCGTTGATTGCAAACACATACAACAACATGGCTGATCATTTCATAGCACTTAGCAACAAAGAGCGACTGATCTTGACAAACTACGAAAAGAATAGGTTGTTGTGCGTTGACTTTAAGGGCAATGAAGTGTTCAATGTAATGACATTACTGAATGGACAACCAGCAAAACCGTCTGGTATCTTGTGCGATGATGATGGGAGCATCTATGTCGCCCCTCACTCTTTTCGTGAATCTTTCAAGACTGAAGTGCAACATTACGACTCGAATGGCGCATTTATAGCAATAGTTGCTCAAGGGTTGTACAATCCTATAGGAATGGCATTCACCCCCGCTGGTGACGTCGTTGTCGCAGACAAACACTCCGTCAAAATCTTTAAGCGGATGTAATCTGCTTCACAGACATCAATGCCCCTCTGGTAGCCAAATGCATTTCCTGAAATCCATAAACCGTCACAACATGTCTGATACAATTGTGCAAAACAAATTACTTCGCAGGAGTGATACAAAAAAAAAAAAAAAAAAAAAAAAAAAAAACACACACCTAGAATACGTTTGTTTCTTATCATGAAAAAAAGGTGATTACTTGTCGTTAAGGCGATTGTTTTTGATAGTTTCCTTGTCAGTGCTCGAGACACTCAGTGGGAAATATTTTGCAATTAGATATGCAATTTACCCTAGTTTTAATTTTCAAGTATGTGATCATGTGTCCGCTGTTATTTGGGTTGGTTTCGGTACATTTTCCAGGTTACAGCTCCGATGGTGACACTCTGCAGCGTTATCGTCGATTATTTCAAGTTAAAGATTCATTCCCGGTGCTAATTACGACTGTTAACAAGCCAAGGAATCATAGCAAGATAAAAACTGAGACATTGAAACCTTGAATAAAAAAACACCACCCAACGTTTAGTATAAAAAAATAAACCGACGTTTAGTTTATTTCTTAAATGCGTACGAATTGGAAATTCCCTAGGAAAAAAATAATCCATTATTTTTTTGGAGCACGGGGTATGCATATTTATTAGCTCTGTATATTGCGTGTGTCCATGTATACTTTTCCTTTTTAACAAATTAATAATTATTGTTTGAGCTGTATACAAGTTGATATAATCGTTCAGATGTAAATAATACATGTAAACAGATTGAACATAAAATAATTTTAGATTATTACAATTAAACCGATTTTTTTTTCAGCATAATTTCCCCGGGATTCTTCCTCAGTTTTTCTTTATTTTAAAGAGAAATTCGTCTTGGAAAGAAATACCTTGGAAAAAGCTCAACCATTTTCAAATCCAACCACTGCTTCAACTTTCAGTTCGCCCTTAAATTTCTGTATAAACATTTCTGTTTTTTCCCCACAGACCACAGTAGGTTTGAAAAAGACTCTTACTAATGAACATGAAAGAAATGTCCTTTTATCTCCAAAGTACAACCTTCTGCATTATGTCTAACTTTACAAAGAGAGCGCCGGCAGGACATTGGAGTTAAATACACAGTGCCAAGCTTCGTTGTACTGTAGACGTATAGCTTTTTGCACGGAAATGTGAGCCGAGAAGGATGAATCACACGAAAGAGTGAATCACACTCTTTTGAGTCAATCTCATGTCAAGTCTCAATACCTGAATTTGTCTGTGACCTGACTTGACAGTGGATGATTTTTGATTGACTTCTGAATAATTTTGAATGATTTAGTGAACTGTGGTCAACTTAACATGAAGCTGACCTTTGCTTGACTTCTGATGACATGTGATTGACTTCCGCATGGTGACATTTTGATTGACTTCGATGACTTGTGACTGAGGACTTATGATCGCAACAACTTTTAGCAACAATTCTTTCACGCAGTTCTATATAATTGTTTGGATCCATTTGGTTGAACATAAACATATCTTCATATATAAGCCGCATGATACCACCCATCAACAGACGTCATATGTGAACAAAGTATAAGGATTGCCTCAGGCAATTTCGAACTACACGCGCAAATGTGAAGTCTGCGAGCTGAGTATTTAAAGTACATTTGCATTTCATTTCCGGGTATATATCACAGCCTACTTTTAACCTGGTTGTCTGAGATGAGAAAAAAATAATTGTGTACAGGCCCTAGGAAAATCAAAGCAAAACACAAAATAATGTCATAAAATACAACATCTAAACACGGGTAAGTTGTTCCGATTAATATTATTAAAAATATATATATTAACCCTCCGACGCAGAAAGCCCATTTACTAACACGCTTACAGTAAGGGGTCCCTCCGGGGACCCAGATATTTAGCGCCTTGGTTTGAGGCTACACAACACTGTATCTATATGTACACAATCTCGACATGTCTGTAGACTATAAATAAGGAGGTCATTGACAGGAAACAGATGTTGTATACATAGTCTGTGGTCAAGTCGTGCACTTGGCTACCCGCAAGTGACTTTGTTTTGTGCACGTGTATATGGGCAGCCCAGGTTGTCAGGCTCAGATATGCCTGACCCGGGGTCACACACTAAAGGTGACTGCATATATCCGTAGTGGGTGTCTCTGGCTAGGATTAGATGGAAGATCACCAGAATTGGTTGGAATTTTTTTTTTTTATTAAGGTAATTAACCAAATTGGGTCCCCAAAAGGGCTAGTTACTGCGTCGGAGGGTTAATAGGCATCCATTGAAACTGCCTCTTCCGACTGATTAGAATAAACATCTCACTTCTCCAAACGTAGGCATATGTTAAATCTGTACATTAAGTACAACTCAATAATAATACTAGTAATATTGTATAAATTATAACGCAATGTTAAAACAAAATGATCCAAAACAAACACTTATCGATTACGAACACATATGCTGCACTGATGTCAGGCAGGACAAATAATGTATTCTGCATGTAATGTCTGTTTTGTGCTTCCGTACTTTTACACATGAGGCCGATCGACTTCCTGTTTAAATATTTAACATAAATCATGTGCATTCCTTGGGCGTTGGTGCTGGGCAAGTGTACCAAGTATATCGAGCGATTAGCATCTTGTTTTTCCGGTGATAGTGATGAGTAAACGGAACTGCACGCAATACTATGTACTGCTGCATCAGTACACGAATCAATGATGTATACATGTACATGTACATGAACACTGTGTAGTTTAGTCGGAAAGGGGGGGTATCGTGCACCCTCGGAAATCAATTTCTAATCAACGTGTCTAGGTCGAAAAAAATGCGTAGAAAACGATTTGCTATGTTAAAAAATTCAAAAAATGTCCCACGTATTGTTTTTATGCAAATTAGTGCCGCCATTACCGAAAAATCTATTTTTAATTATATCTCAGCCAAAATTGCAGATAACTGAACGAACTAGGTGTCTAAACCCATGTTTTCAAGGTCAGAGATCACAATAAAACTATTTTGGAAGTCACCACATGTGTCTGTGGCATAGGAATATGCAAATTAGTGCCACTAATACCGGAACATCATGTTTTTGGCATATCTCGGCCAATATAGAACATAACTACACCAGTAAGGTGTCTAAACCCATGTTTTGATGGTCAAGTATCATAAGAAGACCATTCACGAAGTAACTATGTGTGTCTTTTGCATGAAAATATGTAAAATATTAAGTGTCGGTTTATCAGATATTTGATTTTTAGCCAATATCTCGGCCAATATTGCACATAACTACACAAGTAAGGTGTCTAAACCCATGTTTTGAGGGTCAGGTATCATTAGAAGACCATTTACGAAGTAACTATGTGTGTCTTTGGCATGAAAATATGTAAATTCTAATTTGCCGGTTTATCAAAAAATTGATTTTTAGCCAATATTATATTCAATTTCAGCCAATAGTACAATTTATTTTAAATATGATGGCTTAAAATAAACTTTGATCATTATTGCTTATCAAAAACCCTTCTGTCAACATTAGCTGCAATATTGGCCGAGATATTGGCTAAAAATCAAATTTCCGATAAATCGACACTTTTGAATTTACATATTTACCTGCCAAGGACACTCATAGTTACTTCGTGAATGGTCTTCTAATGATACCTGACCCTCAAAACATGGGTTTAGACACCTTACTTGTGTAGTTATGTGAAATATTGGCCGAAATATTGGCTAAAAATCAAATATCTGATAAACCGACACTTTATAATTTACATATTTTCATGCCAAAGACACACATAGTTACTTCGTGAATGGTTTTCTAATGATACTTGACCCTCAAAACATGGGTTTAGACACCTTACTGGTGTAGTTATGTGCTATATTGGCCGAGATATGCCAAAAACATGACTTTCCGGTATTTGCGGCACTAATTTGCATATTCCTATGCCACAGACACATGTGGTGACTTCCAGAATAGTTTTATTGTGATCTCTGACCTTGAAAACATGGGTTTAGACACCTAGTTCGTTCAGTTATCAGCAATATTGGCTGAGATATAATTAAAAATAGATTTTTCGGTAATGGCGGCACTAATTTGCATAAAAACAATACGTGGGACATTTTTTGCATTTTTTAACATAGCAAATCGTTTTCTACGCATTTTTTCTGACCTAGACACGTTGATTAGAAATTGATTTCCGAGGGTGCACGATACCCCCCTTTTCCGACTGAACTAGTGTGGCTACATTGAAGTTTCATCTGGGGTATTTATTGTGTTGCTTTGTGCGACACAAATAGCCACTGGTTCTTCCAAACCTATTTGCATTATACAAAACTGTTTCTAATTATTTAAAGGTGGGCCTGTCCATATCCATTTTTTGGGGTGTGAAATCGGGACATAAATTTAGCCAGTGTTCCACCAAGAGCTTAATAAGAAATCGCCCGAAACCAATGATGAAACCACGAATTGAGAAATGCGTTTTAAGTCTGGTTCCGGGTTTAGCATTACATGCTATATAACAACAAGGTGGGAGTCCGCGACACGGTGTATGTTTGTTATATCATTATGGAGGAAGGAAAACAGACGGCCGCTGTACATGAACGTACATCATTCGCGAACATAACATGTACTTAACGGCGCGGCGTAAGTCATTGCAAATATTTTTCGCAAATAAGTTTTGCTTTTATTTTTGGGACTCGAGTCTTATTAGCCTTCCTCGAGTCGAGTCGAGTCATTCAGATGAGGGACTCGAGTCAAGTCGAGTGATTTGCTCGCAGTGACTCGAGTCGAGTCGAGTCATTTACCCGAGTCGGACTCGAGTCGCCAAAAAATGTGACTCGAGTCGGACTCGAGTCGAGTCATTGACTCGAGTCATTACAACTCTGAATGATGTCACTCCGCCTTCTCTGGTGATCGTCAACAGACGTCCGTCCTAATAAAGAAACTTGTTATCGGAACAACGTGCAGGACTGTATCATAACATTTTGCGCTGTGTATATGCTGATGTGAATTCTTCTCACCGTGGATTTTATACAGAATTAATATTTTGAATTAAGAACAATTTTGACTGTCATATCACTTTGTTTTTGAAGCAAAATATACGCAAAATTGAACAAAAAAATATATTTTACCATTTGTTCAAGTAAAATCCGAAATGTTTGTCCTATCTTCAAAATAAGCGCAGATTCATCTTAAAAATCGTACGGTTCTACTTTGATTCTTTAATCAAGTCATTTTTGGTGTGAAAAAAAACACAACTAGAAGTAATGACAATCTCATCAGAAAAGAAGTCATTACAAAATGTATATCTTTATACTTATGAATAATTGTAATGAAGGGATGCAAAGTTGCAACCCTCCATTGAATATTGGAGTCGATGGATGTGATTTATTCTTGGAGTCGAAATATGTGAATTGACAACCCGCCATTGAATCTCAAAATGGAAGGATGCAAATGAACAACCCTCCGTTCAAACATAGAATAGAAGGATGCGTGCAAATTGACAACCATCCTTGCAATCGAAGAATGGAAGGATGTGAATTGACAACCCCTCTTTCAATTTCAAGATGGAAAAATGCATGCAAATTGACGACCATCCTTCCAATCTTGGAATGGAAGGCCGGGAATTGGCAACTCTCCATTCAATGTAAGAATGGAACGATGTGAATTGACAACCTTCCATTCAATGTAAGAATGGAAGGGTGCGAATTGACAACTCTCCATTCAGTGTAAGAATGGAAGGATGCGAATTGAAAACCCTCCATCCAATGTAAGAATGGAAGGATGTGAATTGACAACCTTCCATCCAATGTAAGAATGGAAGGGTGTGAATTGATAACTCTCCATCCAATGTAAGAATGGAAGGATGCGAATTGATAACTCTCCATCCAATGTAAGAATGGAAGGATGCGAATTGACAACCCTCCATCCAATGTAAGAATGGAAGGGTGTGAATTGATAACTCTCCATCCAATGTAAGAATGGAAGGATGCGAATTGACAACCCTCCATTCAATGTAAGAATGGAAGGATGTGAATTGACAACCATCCATTTAATGTAAGAATGGAAGGATGTGAATGACTAACCTTAATTTTATGTAAGACTGAAATCTAACTTTTTACATTTTTCTCAAGAGAAACGCGTACTTTTCGCGTTTTTTTGGTCAATTCTGCCGAATTTTATGCACAAAATCCGCTAAATCCGCAAATCTGACAATGTCAAAATGATTATTATCGTGTTTTAAATACCTCAGACAGTTTAGCTATTCCTATTGGTCGAGAGCCCGTCACGTGGCCGGTCTTAAACGGATGACAAAGACATGGCTAGCTGGTCTTAAACACTTTTCTAGTGTCACAATAAAATGTGGACTCCTAAAAATCCATTTCCGTTCACAATCCTCACTTAGGCATGCGCAACACTACCAGCGAGTGAGTATACAAATATAACATGGTTTGAGGGTGGACAGTCGATATTCGCTCCCCGAGGTATTGGAAGTTGACAAACTAGTTCCCAAGGCGAAGCCGAGGGAACTAGTTTGTCAACTTCCAATACCGAGGGGAGCTAATAACGACTGTCCACCCGAAATAAACCATGTTATATTTGTTTTACTATACTTCATACGTATTCAGTTGCCGATTTTTGTTTATACATGCACCTAAAACGAAATTCGGGGAAACTTGTACAGCTCACCAAAAGAACATTGTTGCTCAATATGGTTTGTTTGCAATATAATACAGTTACTACAGTTGTAAATACAGTTGTTTGTGTACAACTTTCTTTTGTACAGGATACATCTTTACACGGTCCATAAATTTTCACCAGTACGGCATCATTGAGCTATGGAAATCAACATTTACGCGAACTGTGCATCCATGCATCTCTCTTGGTCAATGTTCGCGGGTGCGTACTTCGACATTTGTGACATTTCCTCGATTGCTCTGTAAAGCGCATGCGTAGTAGACTGTCGCACGAGTAACCCAAGCGACAGTCTACTACGCATGCGTATTAAGCCTGCGCGTGCATCCCCACGCACGCGTTTGGTGAACAGCAAAAATAACATCTGGCACGTGATGGTGAATTAACCAGTGAGAGTTCGGCTCTCGATCATGAATATGTATGAGGTATAGTAAAATTGAATAGTTCTAAATTCAAAACGCAACGCCCCAGAACATGCTACGCGCGCGTCACTCTCCATAAAAGGGTTGTTTACATCTTACTCGCCAGCTGAACACTCCAATACTTTGCTAGAGGGATGTTTCAAAAAGCATGATGTGAACTTGTTGAACAAAATCTGATTTTTTGTACGAATTATTTGATTCGTTTACTGAAAAGGTATTTATGAATGGGAATAAATATGTGCTCGGTCGATTTTTATCACTCTGTTTAAGACCACTTAGAGTCTGGGTGCTGATAATTACCCTCGCCTCCTGCTCGGGTAATTATCAGCACCCAAAGCGGTCTTAGACAGAGTGATAAAAACCTCCGGAGCACACATTTATTCCCTTATTAATACGGCTGGGTCATATAATCAAATTCCAAGGGATACAGTGAATTCGGATTAGGAAGCGCATGTACTCGTTCCGCAATTACGTTAGTAAATAATCAGGTGAAGGCGCTGTAAAATAATCAGGTGCATTACAGTACCTACCGTGACATTTTATTTCCGGGTATAATCCTAATGTCATACAAACGAATTTATACCGGATGTCTGAGGTAAGAACATATAAATACATATTCCATGGACGCATTGCAATTTGTGTTTAAAGAAAAAAATTAAAAGCATAAAATGCAGATAATTAAAAGATGGTTTCTAGTGCCCTTTACCGTTGATGTCAATTTGGCTGTGCTTGCCAGCGCGCGCTATATACATGTACATATATCAACTGCACGTAGACAAAAATAAAACAAAGCCGGACTTGGGCCAAGACTACACGGATATTGAGGAGGTGGAGCGGGTGGGGGGGGGGGGGGGGGTGGAGGGTTGAAGGAAGTCAAGCCCGGCGGTTTAATTGGTCAAAAGTAGTGGTTTGATAAGATAACTTCCCTTTAACAGGTGTGCGTTGAAGGAGGGGGGGGGGATGCCCGTTAAGCCTCCCGGTCGTTCCGGCGCGTTTGTGAACTGTTATTGTTTTCGCCCTGTGTATTGGCTGGCGAATTTTGCGCAAAGACTAGAGAGGTGCTTTTTCTCAATTTTATGTTCGGGTATGCAAGTGACATCGAGCAAACCAATTCTTTAAACATGTTGACTGAGGTAGGTATAACCTAAGTAGCCCTATGGGCTCCGTGCAGAAGTACGGGAGACCTAGACTTGTTCCAGTCCATCCACTGCGTATTTCGAATGATCCAGTTAATTGGCCCTATTAGACACATTCGAATATACACGTATAACAGTCATGAGAAAAGAAAACAAGCTGATGAACTCTCTGAGTGTTTTTCATCGTTGCAAACACTGATTCCTCTACATTGATTTTTGACTTGGACACTAAGTAAACATGTTGATGTCCATTTTTCTCAATCAGAACGATCACGTGGTCTTGTACGTTGTTTCTTTTGTTGTAGACACGTGCCTGCAAGACCCATCCGGAATGCCATATCCCTGCCTTATCTTTCTGACCATGTGAACAAAAACAGGAACTGAAATGTTGAAAATCTCATAACCAAAATGTTGACGTTAAAATAGTGGTACCCCCCCCCAAAAAAAAAAAACCCTGCACCTTATTAAACAAAAGGCAAGCCCAAGCTGGTCCGAGAGCACACAAATCTATACGATTGGTTAAGCAAGGTATTCACTGCAATTACTGTATGCGTGTCTCCAGCTAGTTAGAGCTAATGAATGACGCAAACTCCGATAAATAACCTGTTATTGTCTTAATCATATTCAACTTTTTTCAAGGTGTATACTAGTATCATACTAGCTAAATGCCAAACGTCTTAAATCTGAATGGGAAGAGGTTATCTGGTGTTGATGTTTTAAGGCATCTATGCTATACTAGACTTTAAATTATTCAATACTGCCATGGAAACAAATTCAATGTATTAAATGAACATTTTCTTGCAATGTATGTATTAATCTGCATAAAACTGCTAATATTAAATAAAATAAAATAAACAAATTACATAAAATATTTCAAATTGTAACTACAGAATTAAGGACTCCGGAACCCCAAATGGATATTGTTTCGGATAGATGAGTTTTTATTTTGAGTACGAGTACCGCGGGTCCATATAATAATGCATCGTGCATTAACTAGTCTACAGCTATTGTGTCCTTTAATTGCCGTGCTTTTGCTAGCCATCATATAAAGGCCTACTTCCGAAAATCGCGTGACAAAGCTTGAACTCCAAACCAGATGGCGGCTTCCGCGCGATTGCATTTGTGTCCTGCGTGACATTCGACTTCCTCGCCATTGTGTTCTTAAAATAGCATTTGCTTTTCCCTTTGGTGAGCAATACCAGTTTGTTGCATACGTCTGTCTTACAGTACAATGAATGTTCTGACGTATTTTGCTGTAATTGACAACTGTGCCGAGAGCATTGATCATTGTGTTTTGCAGTTCCTGTTGTTGTTCGCTTGTAGTAAAACCCTGGAATTCGTCTGAATTGCAAGCGATTACTACTGACTTGGGCGAATTGTGAAATTCAAGTGTGAAAGGTAGGGGAGATTAGTAAGCTACTTTTGCAAGTCAACCATGATGAAATGCAATATCAATGTTTCACTTTTTTTGTAGTAGAGGTACGAACAAAATCATGGGTGAAAGTTAAGGCTAAGTTGAGTATATAGAATGAGGTTTCTGTCGTTTCCATCAGAACGTTGAATGAATGAATAACAATGGCAAGGCTACTTATAAATCGAATGTTTTTTTTTTTTTTTTTTTTTTTTTTTTAATCGGAATCAATGAATGAATCATGTTTTGAAACATTTGTGTTGTAGGAGCTACTTTCAAATGATGGCGGAAGCCGCAGCCCAAACTGTTTTGGAGACGATTAGCCAGGGCCATCTGGAATGTCCGATCTGTTGTTGTCGATTCAAGGATCCCAAGATACTGGACTGTCTGCATAGCTTCTGCCTGAAGTGTCTGGAAGAGATGATGAGCAAACATAAGTCAGAGGAGATAACATGTCCAGTCTGCAGGAGAGAGACGCAGGTTCCTGATGGAGGATTGCAGATTCTTGCGTCCAGCTTCTTTATGATTTCTCTTGTCGATGAAATTAACAAACAAGAGAAGTTATTTGGAAAGGTAACTAGTAGTGCGACGTGTGAATCGTGCGAAGAAGGACAGGAGGCTGTATCAAGATGTCTTGACTGCAAGCAGAACATCTGCAAGAAATGCCAAGAGGCACACCAACGTATGAAGTCACTCAAAGACCATCGCATTATTCCAGCACAGGACTTGGATAATTCGAGGGTTTCACAAACAGGTCTTACAAAGAATGTCACACCAAAATGTAGAAAACATGATGACCATGCCATATGTTTTCACTGTGAAACCTGTGATATGCTGATTTGCTCAAAGTGTGCTGCAACGGAGCATCGGTCAGTAGAGCATAATTTCATTGAAATTACCGATTCAATTACATCATTCCGGAAGAATGTCACCGACATCCTTCAGATCTTTGAGGAAAGCAAAAAGAAGTTTGCATCTACTGAACAATCATTCAAACATGCTAGAAAGATATTACAAAGTAACGTGGCTCGAGCGTGTCGTGATATTTCGTCAAAAGCTGAAGAAGAGATCGAACAAATCAGAAATAAGGCTGAACATCTAAACACCAAAGTGAAGAAACTCGGTCAGGAGAGAGACAGTGAGTACGAAAAGGCGCTCATGCACAACCGTGACCAGATGGAACGCGCAGATCAGATCGTCACGGCAGTAAATGACTTGATGAAACAAACCGATGATTTCGAGCTTTTGGGGCTCAAGCCGAAGGTGATGCACAACTTGGAATTCGAGAAGGAACTCAAGTGTGAACCGGTGAATATTGATATGGCGTTCATAGGGGTCAAATGCCAAGATGTCGTCAGCAACACGGATCTGGGGGAAATATTGCTCAGAGAGAAATGGCGGTTGAAGGAAGAGTTTGGCCAGGAAGGCACTGCCGACGGGGAATTCCAGTGGGCCAATGATGTTGCATGTTTCAAAAACGGAGATATCGTTGTAACTGATACAAAGCAGAAACGTCTATCTTTATTTACCTCCAACGGGCAGTTCAAAACATCGGTTGATCAAGGAGCTGATAGCAATCAGTTGGAAGCTCCTTGTGGAGTTGCGGTTAACCATGATGATCTGGTTTTCGTCACGGACCAAAAGAAAGTGAAGGTTTTAGACTCAAAGCTACAGTTTATTCGCGAGTTTACCCCTTCGGTTGACGATGCAGAGGGGCTATCAGAAAGTGACCTTTCTGGTATTGCTGTGGACAAGCAACGAGTAGCAGTGGCTGACAGGGGGAGAAAAGCCATCAGTGTCCACAACTTAGACGGATCGTTGATTGCAAGCACATCGAACAACTTGTTTGGGAATTTCATAGCAATAAGCAACAAAGAGCGGCTGAGCTTCACAAAATATTATAAAAAGAGTTTGCTATGCATTGACCTTAAGGGTGATGAGATGTTCAACGTAATAACTTTACTGAATGGGGAACCAGCGAATCCGACTGGTGTCCTGTGCGATGATGATGGGAGCTGAAGTGCAACATTTCGACTCGAATGGTGCATACATATCAACAGTTGCTGGAGGGTCGTACGATCTGTTAGGAATGACATTCACCCCAACTGGTGATGTCATTGTTGCTGGCAGACACTCCGTCAAGATCTTTGAGCGGATGTAATCTGCTTCACTTCAGACAATCTTGTCCCTCTGGTAACCAAATGCCTTGCCTGAAATCCAAACACACATCTTCTTCGAGATTTCTGAATTTGTGAAGACCAAAGCACATTTTTTTGCCAGTCGAGAATCTATTTTGTTAAATACCTGTCAATTGGTTGTTTCAATTGGGCAAAAAGATGAAAACCTTCAGTTATAACGTAAAACATATTTGATCGTTTAAGGATAAGCATCTTCCGACCCCAAAAAACGGCCGGTATTTGAAATTTTGAAGAGTTTGTTTATGGTGTAAATAGAGGACACACGCGTGCAAACTTGTCGGTGAATCAAGGATTCACCTTGGGACACACCTTAATCCGTTGTTTTTCTCTTTAACATGTATTCTACACACAAACCAGTTTAGAGAGAGGGATGAGTACACTATGGTATCGATTTAAAAACAGTACTCGTTTTTGCTTTTGTTTTTGTTTAGTTTTGTTTAGTTTTGTTTTGTTTTGTTTTGTTTTGTTTTGTTTTGTTTTGTTTTGTTTTGTTTTGTTTTGTTTTGTTTTGTTTTTGTTTGGGGGTTGAAGGAACACAATTACAAGTGCGTTATTAGCTATGTCCGATGTTATTGGAGTAGATTTAGTACAGTTTCCAGTTCACTGTACTGATAGTGACACTCTGCAGACTATTTTCCATTATTTTGATTTAAATATGCACTTTCCGTTCTAATTTCGAGTTTAACCTTGAAAGGTAATTTGTGTTTCAATTACTTTTTTTCCTAGCAATATAACAGTTAGTCACTTTTTAATGAAACATTGAACGAATTAAAAAAAAAAGTCAATAGACGTTCAGTTATTGAATTTTTTTTTATCCACAATAAATATTTACCCATTGAAATTTGGTTCGGAGAAAATAATCAATTTTTAAAGAGCATGCAGTTTGCATTCCCATCTAGCTCTGTATATTTTGTGTGTATATTTTTTTTCTCTTTGACAAAAATAGTAATTAACGTTAAAGCTGTAATAAAAAAGCTGCATATAATCATTCAGATGTAAATAATAAATGTAAACAGACTGGTCATAAATTTCAAATTATTAAGGACGATATTATCAGTATCATGTTCCACTTCTTGCATAATTTTCCTCTTTGAAACTGGGGAAGTAAGATTCCTCACGTTTTCTTTCATTGAAATGGAAAATCTTATTCGAAAGAAAGTAATGTAAACAATATAAATTGTTTTCAAATCCAACCACTGCTTCACTTTTCACTTCCTTTTGCAATTCCCGTATTAACTGATGTTACAATGTTTCCGTACTGACAACAACAGATTTGGAAAGACGAAAATGAGAATAAAAAAAAAAAAAATTATCTTCAAAGTGCAACCTTATACATCAGAACTTGTCTATAATTAGAAAGACAGTGTTGGATACGTGAGTTTGCACTACCGTGCTTCGTTAAACAGTACAGGCATAGTTTATTCACGAAAGATGGGCGCTGGATGAATAACACTCTTCCCAAATATTTTAGAAGTTTCAGTCAAATCGATCACAAGTCATCAATCTCATGTCAACTCACAAGCCATGTCTCAAGTTGTATAATATGTTTCTTGTGAATTAACTTGAAATTGGATGACTTGTGATTGACTTCTGATGAATTGTGATTGACCTGTGATGACTTGCGATTGACTTCTGATCACTTGAGATTGACTTATATAATTGAACATAAATATATCTTCATAGTTATAGCACCTCCCCCATGACACCACCCATCAACCAACATCAGTCTAATAATGAACTTCTCAACGAAACAACGTCCAGGACTGTTTCATGAAATGTCGCACTGTGTATGCTAATGTGAATTCTATTCACTGAGTACGTACCTTGACATTACATTTCCGGGTTTAAATGTGATGTCAGACAAACACATTTAAACCGAATGTCTGAGGTTAAGAAAACAAATAATCTGTCCATGCGGACGCATGCATTTGAATTTATGTATAGAGAAAAATAAAAACATACATATTAAGAAACAAATTGGCCTATAAACGTTATTGTTTTTCGCTACGTGATACAAACACTTTAATCCAATATTAAAACATATTGATTTCATACGCATGCGCTAGGCTTTCATAGTAGAGTTATTACAGTAACATATGATGGCCGTTTTGAGATTCCATAGTATTACGAGGACAGCTGTATTGCTGTTCGAACTTTGAACTTGAGTCGGGAGCATTCATTGTGCATTGGATGGTGTTTGGGAAGTTGTGAGCGTTTAAAATAGCAACTGGTTTTTCCCATAATGAGAAAACGGAGCTGCACGCAATACTAAATACGTTGAACCATATAAACACAGACGAATGGTGTACACTGTAGGTGTTTGTGATATTGAATTACGGGGAATTCATTGTGTTGCTTTGTGCGACAAAAATAGTGACTGGTTTTCCCATGTTGAGCAATTGGGGTTGTGCTGTTTCTGCACCATTCATCGCCTCATACTGTAGCCTTGCATTACACGCATAGGACTTACAATTTAATGGAGTCTTCGTTCATACATTCCAGAGAATTCTCACGCTAAGTATCTGTGGTGGAAGACTTCGGCTAACCGGCGAACCAGTTATAAAGTAGGTGAGGAAATTTTGCCCAGATTTAACAATGTTTTTATATTTAAAATTAGCTGTGAATTCCATATCTGAGATTCCCACGAGCGATCAGCCTAATTTCAACAAGAAACGTGTTGAACAGTGATTAAGACGAGAGCTTGGGGTCTTTGCCCCCCCCCCCCCCTCCTCCCTACCTCACTTACACTATTATGTCTTTGGACTTTGGAATGTTTATAAATGAAAACAAAAACTGACGTGGATGTTTTGTTCTATTTTGATTAGGATATACGTTTAAAGATGGCAGAAGCTGCAGCTCAAATCGTGTTGGACAAGATCAGCCAAGGGCATCTGGAATGTCCGATCTGTTGCTGTCGTTTCACGAATCCTAAGATGCTGGACTGTCTGCACAGCTTTTGCCTGAACTGTCTGGAAGAGATGATGAGCAAACAGAAGTCAGAGACTGAGAGGATAACATGTCCAGTCTGTAGGAGAGAGACGCAAACTCCTGATGGAGGATTGCAGAGTCTTTCTTCCAGCTTCTTTTTGATTTCTCTTGTCGATGAAATAAACAAACAAGAGAAATTATTAGGGAAGGCATTATCTGCTTGTACAACGTGTGAATCGTGTGAAGAAGGACTCGGACATGATGCAATATCAAGATGTCTTGACTGCAAGGCGAATTTCTGCAAGAAATGCCAAGAAGCGCACCAGCGTCTGAAGTACACCAAAGACCATTGCATCATTCCAGCTCATGGATTGGACGAATCGAGGGTTTTAGCAACGGATATTAGCATTCCACCAAAATGTAGAAAGCACATTGAACAGTCGTTATGTTTTCGCTGTGAAACCTGCGATACCTTGATTTGCGCATTGTGTGCTGCAACAGAGCACCGGTCAGCGGAACATAAGTTCATTGGCATAACTGATGCTATTGAATCATTTCGTCAGAGTGTCAATGACATACTGCATAACTTCGAGAAAAGCAAGGAGCAATTTGCTTCAAATGAAGACTCTATCGAACGTGCACGAAATAGACTACAAAAGAAACTGGTTCAGGCTCGTAGTGATATCTCTTCAAAGGCGGAGGCAGAGATCGCTAAAATCAGAAACAAAGCAAAGCTTCTCACCGACAAGGTCGACCAAATCGGTCAGGAGAGAGACAGTGAGTACGAAAATGCGCTCATTCACAACCGTGACCAGATGGAACGCGCAGATCAGATCGTCACGGCCGTAAATAACTTGATGAGACAAGCCGATGATTTCGAGCTTTTGGAGCTCAGGCCGAAGGTGATGCACAACTTAGAATTCCAGAAGGAGCTCAAGTGTGAAAAGGCAAAGCTGGATATGTCGTTCATCGGGGTCGACTGTCACGATGTCATCAGTGACACGGATCTGGGAGAAATACTGCTCAAAGAGAAATGGCAGTTGAAGGAAGAGTTCGGCAAAGAAGGCACCGATGACGGGGAATTCAAATTTGCAACAGGAGTTGCGTGTTTCAGCAATGGGGACATTGTTGTAACTGATACAACCCAGAAACGGCTATCGTTGTTTACATTCACTGGTCAGTTCAAAACATCAGTTGTTCAAGGAGGTGAATGCAATCAGTTGGAAGCTCCCTGGGGCGTTGTTACCTATGATGATCTTCTTTTCGTCACTGACAAAAAGAAAGTGAAGGTTTTTGACTTGGAGGTAAAATTTGTTCGCGAGTTTACACCCTCGGTTGACGATGCAGATGGGCTATCAAAGAGTATCCTCCGTGGTATTGCTTTGGACAATCAACGAGTAGCAGTGGCTGATTGGGGGAGAAAAGTCATCAGTGTCCACAACTTGGACGGATCGTTGATTGCAAGCACATCAAACAACATGGTTGGATGTTACATCGCAATGAGCAACAACAAAGAGCGGCTGATCTTCACAAACTACGAGGAGAAGAGGTTGCTGTGCATTGACTTTAAGGGCAATGAGGAGTTCAACGTAATGACCTTACTGAACGGGAGCCCAGCGAAACCGACTAGTGTCCTGTGCGATGATGATGGGAGCATCTATGTCGCGCTTCACACTGGTACTTTGGGAACTAGTGCAGTGCAACATTACGACTCTAATGGTGCATTCATAGCAACAGTTGCACAAGGGTTGTACAATCCTGTAGAAATGGCATTCACCCGCGCTGGTGACGTCGTTGTCGCAGACAAACACACCGTCAAGATCGTTCAGCGGATGTGATTTGCCTGACCACAAACAAGGCCCTGCTGGTGACTTGAACCTGGACTCAACTAACTAAATTGTTATAGATTGGGGCATAGCGTGCTGCCGCCTTACAAGAATCAGCGTGATATTGATAACAAGAAAAGAAAAGGGCAAACGTATGCTCGATTCATACGCTTAGAAACAACTTACCTGAAAAACTAACAATTTCAAAAGTCCTGCGCTGCGAATTTGTCGACACAATGCACCTTGAAAAACAACTCTCCGTAGCAAACTCTAGATGGCGCACTGCATTGTGAATCGCCCGAATTCTCGAAATTTAATTTACCTCTGCGACCTCCCAACGAGGACGTACGTCACCTATAGTTTAGAATAAAAGTACAAATTTTAGATACCCTAAGTAAAGGGAAATTACCTAATTAATCTCAATCACAGTCTATTTTGCCGATCTTTATACATATATTAGACGGAAATATTGGGATTTTTTAATGGTTAAAGGAATTTGATATTGAAAGTGACGGTCAAATGTTTACATTGAACAGGAAGGCACGGTAATATTATACGTAAATATGGTGTTTCAAGTGTGTACTATTTGCATGATGTTTTTGCACCTACTACTTCTGCCTTAGGCCCTACCTTCTTCCGACTAAAACTTATTTCATTTGATCACGAAACTTACAAACTATTACACAACCATTTTTAAACAGATGTGAATAACTTTAAGTTAAAATCATGCTTACAATATTTGTTGATACAACTCAAAAAATGTTCAGTGTTAATTGCTTTATACACGAATTCTGATCACAATGTTCCGACAACGATGTTCGTGCAATGTGTAAGTGACGTAAAAATATAGCAATGAGAAAAGAAACCAGTTGATTGAACTATTTCTTCTCAAAATACATGCAAACGAATATAATATTTGTAAGGAGAATTTTTTTTAAGAGGATGGGGTATGCATGTGTATTTAGCTCTGTATATTTTGCGTATATTCTTTTAGGGCAGTTCGATTCAATAATTATGTTTGAGCTGAAAATAGCTGCATTTCGTGAAAATGTAAATAATAAATGTAAACCGACCTAATATCAACTTCAAATTATAAAAATAAGACCCGTCTTATCAGTATCATTTTTCAAACTCTTGGACGTTGTTTCGTAGTCATTATGTGGGAAGAGAATGTGTTCTTGACATGAATATTCGCAATAAAATGAAATGACTCGAAAAAAAAAACCTCAGCTACAACTCAGCATCAAATCAGATAGGTTGTTTCCTCATATACAACAACAGGTTTGAAAGGACAGGAAGAATTAAGCAAATACTGGTGTTTTTATCTTCAGATTGCAATTAAACTGCAGATTGTGTCCATCATTAACAAAGAGTGAGTGGACATCGCGTAGTTCTATGTTACTTTTGATCTATTTGACTGAACATAAATATATCTTCATATAGACCCTCGCCCATGACACCATCATCCAACCAACGTCAGCTCTAATGAACTTCTGATCGGAGCAAACTCAGGGATTGTCAGCAACGGCGGCAAATTTTGCGAGTTGGCGGGGGGGGGGAGCAAAGCACCTTCTGATCACAAAGCCGTCTGTTGAGAATTGGAAAGGTATATTTTTCACTACCCGTGCTCTTGTATTATTAAAACAAGAAATTGATTTTTATTTTGTGGTGGTGGTGGAGGGAGGGGGGGGGGGCGGGATTAAAAAGAGGCAAGCCTAAAGTAGTCTAATTGGTCAAAAGTGGGGTCGGGATGAAACCCAACCTTATCTAAGGTGGGAGGGGGATCCGCCCCATCGGCTAACCCCCTCCGCCGCCCCCGGGGACTGCACAAAGTAATTTTTCACTGTGTATAGGCTGGTGAATTCTGCGCACTGAGTGCCAATTGCTTCTTAAATTTTATTTCCGGGTGTACGTGCATGTGATATCAGGCGGATTGATTAATACGATAAAAAGATAATAGACAAATCATTTGAACTACTTGGTCTCAATGAAACATGGGTGTAATTCACGATATAAACCTTACTACGTTTCATCTAACCTGCTTAAACACTCTAATCCAAACTTCGCCTCGATTACAAACGCAAGCGGCGAAGATTTCATAGGATATTCTTTTCCTGTGTGCATACTGTCCGTTTTAAGCTTACGTATAATGTCACTCACAGAGTGGCTGCTCGTTTTACCTTTGAACCTGAATCAGGTGCATTCATTTGGCGCTGGTTCCCGGGAAGTGTACCAGCCGAGCGATTGAAATAGCAACTGGTTTTCCAGTGATGAGTTACTGAAGCTGTGGTATTGAATACTGCAGTACTGTGTACTTTGAACTTTTATTGTGCAGCTTCATGGAAGGTGTACATGTACATTGTAAACGGTACTCCGTATTACTGTGCGACACAAATAGGACATGGTTTTTCCCATGGTGAGTTGTCGCTGCACCGTTCATCGCTGAATAATGTAGGCCAACATATGGTACATTGAAGGCTACGCTATTTAATGGTAGTTTAATTTGCCGTTCTTGTGTGTGTGAAAGACACCTGACATATATCTGTGTTTGAAGAATTCGGTTAACCTGCGATTCAGCAATTAAGTAGGTGAGTAAATTTTGTCTTAAGTTTTTGTTTTTAGGTTTAGGCCTAAGTCATTCTATTTCGTGTGAAGTAGCTGTGAATAACATGCATGACATTTGCACGAACAAATGGTAGCCTTTCAACCAGTGTGAGTCAATGGATACCCTTTTATCTTACTCCCTTCCTGCTGAACAGTCGGACTGTTTCAGAATGAATCACAGACACGAAGTTTTTTTCCGTTTTGATTAGGACATACTTTTCAAGATGGCGGAAGCTGCAGCTCAAACCGTGTTGGACAGGATCAGCCAGGGACATCTGGAATGTCCGATCTGTTGCTGTCGATTCACGGATCCCAAGATGCTGGACTGTCTGCACAGCTTCTGCCTGAAGTGTCTGGAAGAGATGATGAGCAAACAGAAGTCAGAGGCAGAGAAGATAACATGTCCAGTCTGCAGGAGAGAGACGCAAGTTCCTGATGGAGTATTGCAGAGCCTGTCTTCCAGCTTCTTTTTGATTTCTCTTGTCGATGAAATAAACAAACAAGAGAAGTTATTAGGGAAGTCATTAACTACTAGTGCGACGTGTAAATCGTGTGATGAAGGACATGAAGCTGTATCAAGATGTCTTGACTGCATGGCGAACATCTGTAAGAAATGCCAAGAGGCTCACCAGTTTCTGAAATATACCAAAGACCATCGCATCATTCCTGCAGAGGAATTGGACAAATCGAGGGTTTTACCTGCGGATCTTAGCAAGTCTGTCGCACCAAAATGTAGAAAGCACATTGATCAGTCCTTATGCTTTTACTGTGGAAGCTGTGATATATTGATTTGCTCAATGTGTGCTGCAACAGAACACCGGACAGCCGATCACAAGTACACTGCCATCTATGACGCCATCACATCATTCCGTGAGAGTGTCGACGACATTTTGCAAAAGTTCGATAAAAGCAAAAGGCAATTTGCATCAAACGAAGACTCAATCACACATGCACGAAAACGATTACAAAAGAATCTTGCTCAGGCTCGTAGAGATATTTATGCAAAGGCGGAAGCAGAGATCGCTAAAATCAGAAACAAAGCAAAGCGTCTCACCGAAAAGGTCGACGAAATCGGTCAGGAGAAAGACAGTGAGTACGAAAAAGCGCTCATGCACAACCGTGACCAGATGGAACGCGCAGATCAGATCGTCACGGCCGTAAATGACTTGATGAGACAAGCCGATGATTTCGAACTTTTGGAGCTCAAGCCGAAGGTGATGCACAACTTAGAATTCCAGAAGGAGCTCAAGTGCGAACCGGCAAAAGTGAATATGGCATTCATAGGAGTCAAATGTCAAAATGTAGTCAGCAACACGGCTCTGGGCGAACTACTGCTCAAAGAGAAATGGAAGTTGAAGAAGACGTTCGGTAAGGAAGGCATGGGTGACGGGCAATTCCAGTGGGCCAATGGTGTTGCATGTTTCAACAACGGGAATATTGCTTTAACTGATACAACCCAAAAACGGCTATCATTGTTTACCTCCACTGGGTGTTACAAAACATCGATTGCTCGAGGAACCGATTGTCGTGAACTGGAAGCTCCTTCTCGCGTCGCGGTGACCCAAGATGATCTGCTGTTCGTCACGGACCAAAAGAAAGTGAAGGTTTTTGATACCGAGCTAAAGTTTGTTCGCGAGTTTACACCTTCGGTTGACGACGCAGAAGGATTATCAAAGAGCGACCTCCGTGGTATTGCTTTGGACAAGCAACGAGTAGCATTACTTGACAAGGGAAGAAAGGTCATCAGCGTCCACAACTTGGACGGATCGTTGATTGCAAACACATCAATAAACATGGTTGGATATCACATTGCAATGAGCAGCACAGGGCGGATGGTATTCACAACTTACGAGAAGAATAGTTTACTGTGTGTGAACTTTAAGGGAAATGAGGTGTTTAATGTAATGCCATTAATCAATGGGAAATCAGCGAAACCGACTGGTGTCCTGTGCGATGATGATGGGAGCATCTATGTTGCTCTTCACTCCTTCAAATTGGGTAGCGCTGAAGTGCATCATTACGATTCGAATGGTGCATTCATGGCAACAGTTGCTCAAGGGTTGTACAATCCCTTAGGAATGGCATTCACCCCCGCTGGTGACGTCGTTGTCGCAGACAAACACTCGGTCAAGATCTTTGAGCGGATGTAATCTGCTTCACTAAAGACAATGGCCCTGGTCAGCATAAGCGTTGCCTGAAATCCAAAAACATCTACGAAATGTTTAAAACAGTCGTGTAGACCAAAACAGACTATTTCGAAGAACTGATTTGTAAAGCAACCTAGCGATACCTTTGCCTGTGATATTCGATTTACTTAATTTTAAACATCCAAATATGTGAAACGTGGTTGGCAATATCCGCTGTTACAGTTGACATTCTGCGGAGAGATCTTTGAGTTAATCTGAGTCAATCAGGTCTGTATATTTTGCGTAAATATTTTTCCTTTTACCGTCGAGAAGAGCATTATAATAGTTTCAGTGTTTCATGACAGTGACGTTTTGGATTTCTGTTTTGTGCAAACAAGTCATTTCATTTGGTCAATAAGTAATGTTTGGGCTTTAAATAGAGCTGGATATAATCGTTCCGATGTACGTAATGAATGGAAATATATTCATCATTATTTCCAGATTAAAAACACTGAACAGATTTTTTTAGTAGGCCTATGATTTTTCCTTTTCTTGTTTTACCTCTGCGAAATCAAGAATGAGAGATGCTTTAACACGTTCATAGGCGTGAGGGGGGGGGGGGGGTAAGGGGGGTATTTACCCCCCCCCCCCAATATTTTGTAAAGACTGCTTTTTTTTTTAATTCAAATGCCCTTTTTTTTCAACGGGATTACAATAATTTGTAAAGGGTGCCCTTTTTTACGAAGTGCCCTTTTTTACGAAGTGGCCTTTTTTTCTGAACAATTGCCCTTTTCAAAAAAAGAAGTGGTGTCCTTTTTTGTGGCATCTGCCGTTTTTGGTGCCTTTTTCAGAATTTTGCACATGTATCGCCCTGAAAAGCTCCAAATATTGGCCCTTTGAGTGCATAATTATCGGTTTTGAGCAGCGCCCATATCGACAGATGGTACCAGCCCCCCCCCCCCTCCTGTCCGCTTTTTTTTTTTTACTGAGGCCAAGCAGGCGCGGATCCAGGATTTTTTTTCGACGGGGGGCACACCTTTAGAGCATATGCTCTGAGGACTAATGTAGCGAGCGCGAAGCGCGAAGCCCTTACGGCGTGGGGTATGCTGAGGCGATTCCAGGCCCCTTTCCTCCTGAATTATTTGAGCAAAAGTTGTTTAATAAGCTGATAAGGATTTCTTGTTTTAAATATACCCTTGTTTTTACAAATTTTAAGCTACTGTGTACTTTAAAGTTGCAAACCATGTATCTTTGTCTGCATAATTTCAAGCATTGTATTAAAAAAGGAATTGTATTGACTTAGAAAACTGTTGCAATGGGCGATGCGCTGGGGCATTTGCTCCAAGGACTAATGCGAACGCAGAACTAGTGTCTTACGGCGTGGGGTTCGGGGCCCACTGAAGGGCCCCGGGAAAATTTTGATTCTAAAGATGCTTTGTGGTGCAATCTGAGTCGATTCCTGGCCCAATTTCAGCAAAATGTTGTGAAGATTATTATAATTTTTTTTCCATTATCGCTTCGGTTTGCGGTAACACCATGTGTTTTTAATTTTTTTTGTTGATTAGTTTAAAATTGTACTCATGTATTTCTTAATACAAGCCTAGTTAAGTTTTTCTTCTGTTCTTCAGTTGATAACCAAGTACTTTTGGCTGCATAATCAGCTTCTTGCATTTTATTTTTGCAAAGGAATTGGATAGGCTTAGTAAACTGTTTTAAGGATGCGTAGGGCTAGGGAGATCTGTCCCGAGGACTAATAATGCGGAGCGCAATTTTTTTGATAATTAGATGCTCTGAGGTGCAATCTGAGGCGATTCCTGGCCCCTCTTTTCCTGAGTTATTTTGAGCAAAATGTTTTAAGTTAAATAAGGATTTTGTTCATGGTTTAATATATACTCTTGCTTTAACAAGCCTTTTAAGATTCTTCTGTTTTTCACTTGATAACCATTTTCGTCTGCATAATTGTTTTCGTGCATTTTATTTTTGAAAGGGAATTGTATAGACTTAGTTTGTAAACTTTTGCATGATGCTTTCTAATAATTTGTATCAAGTTCAAATTTTCAGTTTATCAATAGGATAAGATTTTCAATGGAAATTTTCTACGGAAACTGACATGTTTTGGACTCCTTAAAGCGCCGAAGAAATGCTGGCAAAGTGTTCCTACGAAAACCGTACCCTTGACCAATAGTGCGGTACAAAGAGCAGCGTTCAACATGTATGTCGCGCTCATCGCGCTAAGGCCAAAAAAGTCTCCGGTTTCTGGTATGCGCGCGCGTCGCCGCGCCGTAGCCATGCACGTCGGCAAAATGAAAAAGTTTTTTTTTTCAATGAAAGATGATGTCTCAAAACCGCCAAACTCACTGGTTTGACTGGAATCCTGCTGCTGCACAATTTTAACGTGTTTTTAGATGGGGTTATGATCGAGAATAAGCTTTATGTGGCCTCTCTGGACTCCCATATACATTTGTATTTTCACTAAGTTTAGTCGGGCACCATTTGCAGTCATCAGCCGACATTTGAAGCAAAAGAGTCAGGTAAAAAAAAAAAAATCCACGTCGCCGCACCACTTTTTGGACAAGCTCCATACCAGAAACCGGAAACTTTTTTTTTGGCCTAAACGTGCGTGTTTTTCGTACCGGTACGCACGCTCATATGAATCGCATTTCATAAACCGATACTATGCAGGGTAACATGGGCGGCCATTAGGGCAAAAAAGACAATTACAAAATTAAAGTTAAGCAAAAATTAAATAAAATGCAGAAAATAAACAATAACGTACAATTAACAATTAACAATTTTGTAAAGACTGCTTTTTTTTTTTAATTCAAATGCCCTTTTTTTTCAACGGGATTACAATAATTTGTAAAGGGTGCCCTTTTTTACGAAGTGCCCTTTTTTACGAAGTGGCCTTTTTTTCTGAACAATTGCCCTTTTCAAAAAAAGAAGTGGTGTCCTTTTTTGTGGCATCTGCCGTTTTTGGTGCCTTTTTCAGAATTTTGCACATGTATCGCCCTGAAAAGCTCCAAATATTGGCCCTTTGAGTGCATAATTATCGGTTTTGAGCAGCGCCCATATCGACAGATGGTACCAGCCCCCCCCCCCCCCCCCTCCTGTCCGCTTTTTTATTTTACTGAGGCCAAGCAGGCGCGGATCCAGGATTTTTTTTCGACGGGGGGCACACCTTTAGAGCATATGCTCTGAGGACTAATGTAGCGAGCGCGAAGCGCGAAGCCCTTACGGCGTGGGGTATGCTGAGGCGATTCCAGGCCCCTTTCCTCCTGAATTATTTGAGCAAAAGTTGTTTAATAAGCTGATAAGGATTTCTTGTTTTAAATATACCCTTGTTTTTACAAATTTTAAGCTACTGTGTACTTTAAAGTTGCAAACCATGTATCTTTGTCTGCATAATTTCAAGCATTGTATTAAAAAAAGGAATTGTATTGACTTAGAAAACTGTTGCAATGGGCGATGCGCTGGGGCATTTGCTCCAAGGACTAATGCGAACGCAGAACTAGTGTCTTACGGCGTGGGGTTCGGGGCCCACTGAAGGGCCCCGGGAAAATTTTGATTCTAAAGATGCTTTGTGGTGCAATCTGAGTCGATTCCTGGCCCAATTTCAGCAAAATGTTGTGAAGATTATTATATTTTTTTTCCATTATCGCTTCGGTTTGCGGTAACACCATGTGTTTTTAATTTTTTTTGTTGATTAGTTTAAAATTGTACTCATGTATTTCTTAATACAAGCCTAGTTAAGTTTTTCTTCTGTTCTTCAGTTGATAACCAAGTACTTTTGGCTGCATAATCAGCTTCTTGCATTTTATTTTTGCAAAGGAATTGGATAGGCTTAGTAAACTGTTTTAAGGATGCGTAGGGCTAGGGAGATCTGTCCCGAGGACTAATAATGCGGAGCGCAATTTTTTTGATAATTAGATGCTCTGAGGTGCAATCTGAGGCGATTCCTGGCCCCTCTTTTCCTGAGTTATTTTGAGCAAAATGTTTTAAGTTAAATAAGGATTTTGTTCATGGTTTAATATATACTCTTGCTTTAACAAGCCTTTTAAGATTCTTCTGTTTTTCACTTGATAACCATTTTCGTCTGCATAATTGTTTTCGTGCATTTTATTTTTGAAAGGGAATTGTATAGACTTAGTTTGTAAACTTTTGCATGATGCTTTCTAATAATTTGTATCAAGTTCAAATTTTCAGTTTATCAATAGGATAAGATTTTCAATGGAAACTTTCTACGGAAACTGACATGTTTTGGACTCCTTAAAGCGCCGAAGAAATGCTGGCAAAGTGTTCCTACGAAAACCGTACCCTTGACCAATAGTGCGGTACAAAGAGCAGCGTTCAACATGTATGTCGCGCTCATCGCGCTAAGGCCAAAAAAGTCTCCGGTTTCTGGTATGCGCGCGCGTCGCCGCGCCGTAGCCATGCACGTCGGCAAAATGAAAAAGTTTTTTTTTTCAATGAAAGATGATGTCTCAAAACCGCCAAACTCACTGGTTTGACTGGAATCCTGCTGCTGCACAATTTTAACGTGTTTTTAGATGGGGTTATGATCGAGAATAAGCTTTATGTGGCCTCTCTGGACTCCCATATACATTTGTATTTTCACTAAGTTTAGTCGGGCACCATTTGCAGTCATCAGCCGACATTTGAAGCAAAAGAGTCAGGTAAAAAAAAAAAAAGCCGCGTCGCCGCACCACTTTTTGGACAAGCTCCATACCAGAAACCGGAAACTTTTTTTTTGGCCTAAACGTGCGTGTTTTTCGTACCGGTACGCACGCTCATATGAATCGCATTTCATAAACCGATACTATGCAGGGTAACATGGGCGGCCATTAGGGCGAAAAAGACAATTACAAAATTAAAGTTAAGCAAAAATTAAATAAAATGCAGAAAATAAACAATAACGTACAATTAACAATGAAAATGTAGGACAACAAAACAAAATTGAAACGTAAAAAATACTGTAAGTATTGCGACGAATGTAAACCCCCAAATTACTGTAAGTCCCCCGTCGAATGTATACCCCAAAATTACTGTAAGTCCCGCGACGAATGTATACCCCAAAAGTACTGTAAGTCCCGCGTCGAATGTATACCCCAAACTTACTGTATTAGTCCCGCGACGAATGTAAACCCCAAAATTACTGTAAGCCCCGCGACGAATGTATACCCCAAAATTACTGTAAGTCCCGCGACAAAATTGTAACCCCAAAATTACTTAAAGCGGGGTACCAGTCTACATGGACTGGTATACAACAATCTATCACTGCAGCGTGGGCGCGCTACATAGACTGTACACGTGCAACTTTTGCGTTTATTTGGAGGGGGCGTAATCATACACGAA